TCCCGTTTACCCCCCGGGACCCCTTTTTTTTTTTTTTTTTTTTTTTTTTTTTTCAATTTTTCCGAGGGAAGGAGCCGCCGCCAGCGTCTTCAAGACCGAGACCCGAGTCAGGATGGAGCAGGGTCCCTGAGACTGCGGAACTGCACCTGGCCACGACTCCGAAGGAAGGAAAAAAAAAAAAAACCCAACCACAACAGAGAAGGAAGGAAGGGGCAGTGGGGGCCCAGGGCTCTGAAAATAATCCCCTCAGCCCATTTAAAAATTGGCTTGAATATGTTGCACTGACAGTACGACACTGCGGCATCACCCACGGCCCCTCTGGGAGGCTGGGGAGAGATCCTCCAGGCCGGGCTTTGTGCCTGGAGTGCAGGGCTACTCTTTGTTCCTCCCGGGCTCCTGAGTAGGGCTTGCTGGAAGCCGCCGCACACATCCAGCTGCCCCCCAAAATATAAAACCTACTTATTTTTTTTTTTAACAAGTTTCCCATGCGAAAAAAAGCAGGCAGGAGCTTTCAGGGCATAGGCAGCGCTGCCCCCGAGCTGGCTGACTGCCCACCGTGAATCTGGGGACACCTCCAACTCACCCAGCATCCCGGGGAAAGCATCTCCGCCGCCGCCGCGGCTTTGGGGTTTTGGCAAACAGGAGAAGGGGGGGGGGGGGGGCGCCAAAACAAGGCACCAGGCAGCCTGCAGAAACCTCGCTTTTCTGGTAGCCCCGACCGAAAGAAAGCGGGACAAATCTTATTAACACGACTGTCGAGCTAGAGCCAGATTCATGTTATATTAAAGCCTTCCCAACTTTGCTTTCCGTTATTTACCTCTTCGGTACGTTTTAAATCAGAGACAACCACATCATTTTAATCTGACCCCTCTCTGGGTCAATCGGTCGCGCAAGGACTAATTATTGTTTACAAGGCCTGCTTCGCACTAATTTTGTTCCGATTCTGTTCTCTCCCTCCTCCCCCAAAACGCACCTTAATAAAACTGAAATTACTTCGGGTAATTTTTTTTTTTTTGAGGGGGTAGGAATCGAATGATTTAATTAGTTTAGCCTGGGAGGGAGACGAGGGTGAAGGAAAATAAACGTATAACTATTAAAAAAAATTTAAAAGCCCATCGTCATCCCTCCGTTGATTTTAAGGCTGATGGTTATTTAAAAATAGCCCTTTCTGCTGGGACGCTGGGCGCGGGGAGAGGGGGGACAGCGGGAACGCCCGCCCTCCGCGGAGGACCTTCCTGCCCGCTCCTACAGCCGG